AGGCTACGTCACCTGTCTCAGCCTCAGTTTCTTCATTTCTGAAATGGACTCCAGGAAAACACCTACTTCTGGTTGTCTTGAGGAGGAACTGAGCACACAGTACCTGGGGTGGCATTGGGACACATGAGACGGCGGCTACAGCTGTCATGAACAGCTGTGCAGCTGCCCTTCTAGAATATATCTCTCTTCTTAGGACAGTTCCTTCAGGCAGGAACAATCACACACACACACACACACACACACACACACACACACACACACACACACACACCTGACCGATGTGCCTGGGAGTTGGTAAGTAGGGTGAGTGTGAGGCCAAGGCCACCACTGCTCCCTGTTCACCTTTGTCCTCCGTGGAACAGGTGGCAGGAAAGCCCCCTTCCAAAGGGCTTTGTTTGTGCTGGGAAGTGTGGGAAGGGGAGCTTGGGGTGTAGGAGTGCAGGTCAACAGCACCCCATGGAGAAGAGGCTCACCCAGCGTGTGTCTACAAGCCAATGCCAGCTGGGACTCGGTAAAGCAATGCTCACAGGTCCTGGGACCGGCCATGCTTAGCATACAACCCTTGCAACCAGAAGAGCTCAGAGGCCGCACACCAGTCACTCACTGCCTTGCTCAAGTGAGCAGCAGCACACCTTCAGCAACCTGGGTTTACAGTCAAACTTAGTTTACAGTTTTCAACGCCAACAGGTTTTTGTTTTTTGCTTTTTAAAGATTTATTTTTATGGCCAGGTGGTGATGGCCCATGCCTTTAATCCCAGCACTCAGGAGGCAGAGGCAGGCAAATCTCTGAACTTGAGACCATCCTGGTATACAGAGTGAGTTCCTGGACAGCCAGGGATATAAACAGGGAAACCCTGACTTGAAAAACTGGAAAAAAGAGAAAAGAAGAAAGAAGGAAAAGAAAAAGAAAATTTTATTTTTATTATTTTTAATTATTAATATGTGTGTGTGCATTGGCAGGTGTCTGCCTAGGCCAGAAGCATCAAGTCCCCCTCGAGCTGGGTTTACATGAGTTCTAGGAACTGAATTCAGGTCTACAGCAAGAGCAATAAATACTCTTACCTGATAGTCATCTCTCTATCAGGAGGCTAAACATGATCTGAGGAGAAGGCTCAGTCCACAGAGTGCTTCGTGTGCAAGCACGAGGACCTCAGTTCAACCCCAGAAGCCATGGGAAAGAGTTTGGAATGGTGGGGGGAGGTGGAGACAGACCGCCAGGGAGGTGGAGACAGGACGGGGGTGGGAGTGGGGGTGGGGGTGGGTTGGGGGGGTGGAGAGAGGCTGGGGAGGTGGAGACAGGCCGGGGAGGTGGAGACAGGCCGGGGGTGGGGGGGGGGGGTGGGGGTGGGGTGGGGGGTGGGTGAGTGGGGGTGGGTGGGGGGGTGGGGGGTGGGGGGATGGGGGTGGGTTGGGGGAGTGGGGGTGGGTTGGGGGGGTGGAGAGAGGCTGGGGGTGGGGGTGGAGTGGGGGGGTGGGGGGGTGGAGGGGGTGGGGGAGTGGGGGGGTGGAGACAGGCCGGGGGTGGGGGTGGGGGTGGGGGTGGGGTGGGGGGGTGGAGAGAGGCTGGGGAGGTGGAGACAGGCCGGGGGTGGGGGTGGGGGGGGGTGGGGAGGGGGGTGGGGGGGGGGGTGGAGAGAGGCTGGGGAGGTGGAGACAGGCCAGGGAGGTGGAGACAGGCGGTCCCAGAGCTTGCTAGCACAGCCTACTTGGAGAGTTCCCGGCCAGTGAGGGACCTTGTCTGAAAAACAAGCAAACAAATAACAACAACAACAACAGCCAAGGTGAGCAGCTCTTGAGAACTGACACAGGAGGTTCACCTCTGGCCTTCACACACACACACACACACACACACACACACACACACACACACACACACACACACGGGCACACACAGTAGAGAGGGTGATCAGGACAGGACACCAAACACCTGTGACCTCCCCATGTAGGAACATCCTCATCATGTTCACATACTCTCATGTGCACACGCACACACCCATACATACAAACATGTACATGAACCACACACACATACAAGTCTGTGTGAAAAGAGAGATGGGATCCCATAGGCCCGGCCTCCAGTGTCCCAACTCCTCCATTTCTCGTGCATCCCAGCCATTTTGAAACCCTGGCAGCTTCCTAAACACTTGCTTACCTGGCTCCTTCCGAGCCAGGCACACAGCTCCTCCTGTGTGGAATGCTCATTCTCTGGGAGTGTAAATCACTCTCAGAACATGTTCAGACTTGGGCTTGGGGAAATTCCTCTGTCAGCAGTCTTGTGGTAGAGTGTTGGGGAGGCACCAGGAGGCCATAGAATGGTGGGGGATTCCCAGGAGCCTCTGCTTCACCCAGCTGCTTTCCCACCACTTTCTCACCCAGGAAAGGCCAGCAGGGACTCTGGGCATGGAAGGATAGGGCTCTCTTGGTTTTCCTGGCTCCTGGCTAAGTCCAGCAACCAGTTCCTCTCCAGCATGATGGAAACATAGAGGTGGTAGAGATGGACACCCCTGAGCAAGGCACAGAGCCTCGGAGGACCTCAGCTTCCTTGCCAGTGGAGAACGGCCTTTCCAGGGCCCAAGGGCCTGTGTGGTACTCCCTTCAGAGTCCCAAGGGCTGGGCCTGACTCACTGCTTCAAATTATTTTAAATTATATCTTATTTATTCTCTCTCTCCCTCTCTCTCTCTCTCTCTCATACACACACACACACACACACACACACACACACACACACACACACACACATTCTGAGTTCAAGGCCAGCCTGGTCTACAGAGCAAGTTCCAGGACAGCCAGGACTACACAGAGAAACCCTGTCTCAAAACAAACAAATAAACAAACAAACAAAAAGCAAAAAACTCTGTAAGTTAACACACTCAGAAATCAACAATAGAATGTTGAATGTGTCTTTCAGTGATTTCTTACTCTAGAGTTCCTTTTCTAGTTCTCCACAGTGTGTATTCCTTTCATGAGTGATACGGTAACATAGAGTTAATTTGGGGGCAGGTAGTATAACAGCCATGGCTGTCCTGGAACTCACTCTATAGACCAGGCTGGCCTCGAACTCACAAAGATCTGCCTGCCTCTGCCTCGTGAGGCCTGGGATTAAAGGCGTGTGCCACCACTGCCCATCTCTTCTTTCAACTTTTAAATTACTTTATTGAATGAAAATAAGGACATGGCCATTCCTAAATATAGTTGAGGTTTTATTGTAGATATGAGGGAAAGAACAGCCAGAGGCATCTGGAGCAGCCCAGACTAAACATGGCCAGCAGAATAGACTGGGTCATGGGGGGAGAAAGGTGAGAGAGGGAGAGAGAAGGGGAGCCATAGACTAAGAGACCATGAGGTCTTGTTGTAAGGATTCAGTCCTTAATTACATCATCAGCCTGCGATGGCGTCCCAGCCTAAAAAGCGGGTGGGCCCTCTGTGCATCCCTCTCTTTCCTTTCCCTTCCTTCCTTCCTTCCTTCCTTCCTTCCTTCCTTCCTTCCTTCCTTCCTTCCTTCCTTCCTTCCTCCCTTCCTCCCGTCTGTCCTCTCTCCCTCTCTCCCCTCTCTCCTTCCATCAGCCCCTCTCTCCCCTCTCCCCCCCCCCCCCCAGTAAAGCTCTAAAAAAGGTAACCATGGCTTGTGACTCTCCTCCAGCACTCTCCTCCATTGGCATGGCCACTGTGGGCAGCGCTGTTTAACCAACACTTGTAGCCAAAATGACTGAGTTATACAGGGATCTGAAGCTCGGGGAAGGAGGCCCAGCCCTGGGCTGGAGAGGAAGAAGGTGAGGGGCAAGGTGAGAAGTGCTGGGAGCCACAGGTACTGAGTGATGCAGGGACAGCTGGGCAGCATCCACTGATACGTTAATAGGAACTTCAGTTAGCCATTTGTCCTAGGTTTCCTTGAGACCTAACATTTATATGTTATTAAAATGCAACAAAAACAGTATCGGAAGGGAAAGTCTGGCCAGACGACCCTGGGATCACAGGGTAGGGGTGAGAACAGACTCCCAAAAGCTGTTCCGACCACCACACATGTGGTGGCATGTAAACCCCCCAAGAATAAGGAAATGTAACTTTCCAAAAATCAAATAAAAAAGAAAGGGCAGTTTGGTTGTCCTCATTGTCTTTCTGAGAGTTACTTCCAGTTTTTTTTTTAATTTCCTGTTATGCGATTAGTTGTGTCTATTTATAGGAAACAGTGTGATATTTTGATAACTGTATATGTTGTATAATGATCACATGGGGTAATTGGTATACCTGCCACCTACTATGTATATCATTTCCTGATCAGTTGTGACCACTCACAAGCTTGGGCTTTCGTTTCAGTGTTCAGTATTGCTGACCTCAGAATACTAAACTGCAAGAAGACATAGGGATAAATTAGTCACTTTACAGGTGACATACACATGCCGAATTTTGTTTATGTCTTTAAAGATATTTTACATTTTACTGAGTGTACTGGGGTGCATGTGTGCCCCTGTGCACTTACAAAAGTCAGGGAACCATTTGGAGGAGTTAATTCTCTCTTTCTATCATGTGGGTCTTGGGAATAGAACTCTGGTCATCAGATTTGGTGGCAAGTGACTTTACCTGCTGAGCCGTCTGACCAGGTTGAAAGAGGAAGTTCTTGGGCATTGAATATAGGGCCTCTTGGGTGCTAGGTAAAAACTCTCCTATAGAGCTATATCCCCAACTGAAAGAGGAAATTATTTAATTTATTTATTTATTATGGTTTGGAGACAGGGCTCTTGTATCACAGGTTGGCCTCCAACTCACTATGTAGCTAAGGATGACCTTGACTCATCCTCCAGCCCACCTCCTGAGTGCTAGGGTTACAGATGTGAACCACCACAGCTTGTTTTGAAAAAGGATTTTTTAAATCGTTGGACTCAAGTATGTATATTTATTTTCTTTTGAAAGGTTTGTCCTGATAAAACTCTTATGATAATTTCAGGAGTGTACTCTATATAGTCTGAGTACAGGATGCTTGACAAGAAATGTCCTGCCAAAGTTACCAGCACATAGTCAGCGTTATCTGTGAGGCATGGAAAAGTACAAACAAACCTGCACATGAATCATGCTTTAAAGTATCCCTCTGGAACTTTCTCTCCTGTGAGTAGATGTGATCCCCATCCGAACGGTCCAGGATCTGTTTGCATTTCTGCTTTTCGTGTGGCAATGCATTGCTAAGGGCGCACATTTTGTTTCTGTTGTTATTTCAGGTATTATTGAGCACGTCTTATTTTTTAGTAAACTGCACCGGAGATATATGGTTTAAATGGTTGCTCTTCCCCTTATTTCCCTGCTTTCGTTTGTTTTTCCTCTTTAATTCAATTTAACCCATTCATTTTTAGCGTCGGGCAGGTACTCACAGTACACATGCGCACTCCTGGCGCGGCGAGCCCGCCCCCAACCCTGGCCATTGGCTGTTCAGGCCGGAGCGCACTTGATTGGTCGCCGCGTGCCAAGCCCCCGCTGCCCGTCAGAGTTGGCGGGAAAGTGGCGGAGGCGCAGCATGGCGGCGGCGGCGGCAGAGTCGCCGTCCTCGGGTGGCCCCGGGGCCGTGCGGTTGCCGCGGTCGCCACCACTCAAGGTGCTGGCAGCGCAGCTGCGGCGCCACGCGGAGGGAGGCCCGGGCGCGTGGCGGCTGTCGCGGGCGGCGGTGGGCCGCGCGCCGCTGGAGCTGGCGGCCGTGTGGATGCAGGGCACCGTGCTGGCGGCGGAAGGCGGCCAGGCGCGGCTCCGTGACCCGAGCGGGCCCTTCTCCGTGCGCGGCCTGGAGCGCGTACCGCGGGGCCGGCCTTGCCTGCTCCCAGGTAACCAGGGCCAGACCGGTTCTGCAGGGGGCTGTCCTTCCCGGGGGCGGGGCGGTCCCACCTCCAGGCGTTCGTCCTCCTTCCTGTCCCAACCCCTGTCAGGTGACTCCCATACCTATCGGATGACTTCAACACCTGCCACCACGTTCAAAGATGTAGGTTCCAATCTGGCCCGGTGGCCCACAACCGTCATCCCAGTAGTAGGAGACTGAGGCAGGAGGATGGCAAAGTTCAAAGCCTTTCTGAGCTACAAAGTGAGTTTAAGGCCAACCTAGGCAACACAGTGAGAGCTTGTCCCAGAACAAAGAGTAAAGAGGGCCTGGGATGGGACTCCGTGGTAGAGCACTTCCTAGCATTGATGAGGCCTTGGGTTCAACCCAGGCTGCAAAAATAGTAAACAAATAAATCAATGAAAATACCTCTGGGTTCTCGAGCTTTGGGCTTCTCTGTCACGAGTTCTCTCCCCATAGATGTTTTTCAGTTTCCCCATGTGCTTTGAGAAATAATGTCTTGGGAAATGTGTGCGTGTCCTTTTCTGTTTTGAGGCAGGGTCACATGTCGTCTAGACTGGCCTCAAATTCCTTGTGTAGTTGAGGGTGATCTTGAACTCCTGAACTTCCCACTTCCATCTCCAGAGTGCTAGGATTACAGGCATATGCCACCACACCTGGTTCATGTGGTGCTGGGGGTCACACCCAGGCCTTTGTGCGTGTTAGCGGAGCAACCTCCCAACTGAGCCATATATCAGCCCCACGTCTGCATATTTTTAATGTTCCAAGAAAAATGGGACATTTATCTGGAAAGCCACTGTTACCAGAAGGGCTGGGGACGCTCTTCTCTACCTTTCCTACTGAGAACACCATAGCTGTAGTTCCTAATTCGTAACCAGCTGTTGCTCACACGCGAGGAAGCATCATCACATTTATCTAGGGGTTTGTTGAAGCCCATCCCCTCAGGTTTTCCGAGTCTTAAGACTTGTTTCTCATTTGCTCCAAGGAGCTGCTAATATTGCTGGGTTTGAGGCCACCCTCTGAACCACTACAGTACTTGGTCTGTGGTCCTGCAGCTTGACCCTAGCATCTGGTCTCATGTCTGACATCTAGGTGTCCTGAGAACCAGATGGCCTAAGAGATAGGCATTGGGATACCTGGAGTCTCATCTCACTGACAAGGATGTCACGTGAACATATCATACATGGGGCTGCAGCTGTGACCCAGATAGACGAGGCCTGCCTCTACTTGACTTTGGAGGTTTCTGAAGGAAGCATTTGGATTCACCAAGCCTACCTTTCCATGGCTTCCTTCTCTGTGAAGTCAAGCCAGACTCTCTAAGAACGCTTCCTGTTCAGATCAGAGAGTGTGGGGCTCTGTCTAGAGACAGACTAGGTCAGGGGTCTGACCTGGGCTGTTTTGAACTCAGATTTAGGTTACCTTTTCTTCTCTCTCTCTCTCTCTCTCTCTCTCTCTCTCTCTCTCTCTCTCTCTCTCTCTCTCTCTCCTCTCTCCTCTCTCCAGTCTTACTCTAATTTAGGACTAGCAAACTCAAATGGACTGTAAACTAAAAGCAGTTTTACACACACACACAGACACACACACACACACACACACACACACACAGACGCAAAGCTAGGAATCAGGCTCAGTGCCTTACCACTGAGCTCTGTCTCCAGACCCAGCTTTTACTTTTTAAAACTTTTTGTTTGTTTTGTTTTGTTTGTGGCACATTTCTCTGTGTAGCCCTGGTTGTCTCACTCTGTAGACCAGGCTAGCTTCAAACTCAGAGATCCGCCTACCTCTACCTCCTGAGTGCTGGGATTAAAGGCATGTACCACCATGTGTTAATCCCACTGATGGAGAAAAAGACCACTACCACAATTCAAAGCCAAATTTGAAAGAAGCTTTAATTAAATACTGGCCAGGTGGATGGACTCCGGCCAGGACCATCTTCAGGCTTCCAGAAGATGGCCCTGAGTCATGGTTAACTTAAGTATTTCCCATCAGGTCCAATCAGGGGCCAGCATATATCCTGACACATTTCCTGCCTGTCAACCTCTTGCCCATGTGTGATCAAGCACATCCAGTACAGATGGGTCACACAGACTTGGGGAGTGAAAACCTGGGGCTTGTTGTCTCCATACACAACAGGAACTCTTTGTCCTTGGGCAAGGGACTTGTAGATCAGAGGCGTTTTTGTTTCATGGATATATTAATTAAAACTTAAAGTGTAACTTTGGCTGTCACATATGCGTGGCTCTTTAAAACTATTTTGATTACATCTTACTTATTCTGAGTAAGGTTATATGTGTGCATGTGGGTGTGCCATAATACTCAGGTGGAGACCAGAAGACAGTTTGAAGTCGGTTCTCTCCTTCCACCATGTGGGTCCCAGGGACTGAACTCAGAGTGCCAGCCTTGGCAGCAGACACTGGCCCAGGTTTCACTATCGTTTGTTTTGTTTTGAAACAGGGTCTCGCTATGTAGCCTTGGGTGGCCTGGAGCTCACTATGTAGATCAGGATAGTCTTGAACTCAGAGATCCTCTCGCCTGTGCCTCCTGAGCCCTGGGATTAAAGGCATGTGCCTGATACCTGGCTTGTGTTTTACCTTTTGATCACAATGTGAGAAAAGGATATGCAGTTCAGAATCAACATCTGCAAGTGAAGTTGTATTAAAGTGAAATGTATTTGTAATTTACAAAAGATTAGGGTCACTGTTTCACTGTAATGACATAGTCCAGGAGTTGTGACAGAGATGACCCACAAAAGCCTGATTTATATAGTCTGGTCCTTTACAGAAAAAGTTGACTGCCCTATGCCATAGCTTTGGCTTTGCTCGAATTCCATGGTGTTTGGTGTCCCTAGCCTAGGCAATGTCCCTTGAGGTCAGCCAGTGTCTCAAGCCTGGCACCCAGCAGATGTCCCTGTGTTGGACTGAGCCTGCTTGCCTCACCTTCTAGCCTGTATGCCCAGGGGAAGGGCTCATCCTCTTTCCTCTTCCTCATTAATTATCTCACCAGGGACCAGGGAAGTAAACAGGCCACTAAAACACAGGGTACCAGTGTAGATGCACACCTAGGGCGTGTGTCCAGGGGTGGCAACTCCTCTTTCTTCCATTTGAGTGGTGCTCACGGTATCTGCCTCGGTGTTTGTGAAGTAGAAAAGTCCCTACAAAAGCATGCCATGTGTTAACCTCTGCTAACCTCAGGAGACCTCCAGCTGCAGAGCATAGACAGACTTCTGTCCATCTGGCTCGTTGGTTCATCTGGTATTTATTTGGGGCCAGTTGATACAGAACTAGGCACAGAAGAAGGATACATGTTCAAGGCTCAAGGGGGGTCAGGAAAGCCCTGAGAACTGCATTGTAGTTATCTGTAGGGACTAGCCCTCTTGGGTTTCTGGGACTTAAGATGTTCAGTGTCAGGATTGGGACAGTCTGTGTCTGTAAAGTAGTGGATTGTCAACTCCTTTGAACAGCTGTGCAAAGGCCAGAAGGCATGGAACAGGGCCCCATAGGACAGCAAAGGCCAGGAGGCAGGGAACAGGGCCCCATAGGACAGCAAAGGCCAGGAGGCATGGAACAGGGCCCCAGGGGCAGCAAAGGCCAGGAGGCAGGGAACAGGGCCCCATAGGACAGCAAAGGCCAGGAGGCATGGAACAGGGCCCCAGGGGCAGCAAAGGCCAGGAGGCAGGGAGCAGGGCCCCATAGGACAGCAAAGGCCAGGAGGCAGGGAACAGGGCCCCATAGGACAGCAAAGGCCAGGAGGCATGGAACAGGGCCCCAGGGGCAGCAAAGGCCAGGAGGCAGGGAGCAGGGCCCCAGGGGGCAAAAAGGCCAGGAGGAGGGAACAGGGCCCCATAGGACAGCAAAGGCCAGGAGGCAGGGAACAGGGCCCCATAGAACAGCAAAGGCCAGGAGGCAGGGAACAGGGCCCCATAGGACAGCAAAGGCCAGGAGGCATGGAACAGGGCCCCAGGGGCAGCAAAGGCCAGGAGGCAGGGAACAGGGCCCCATAGGACAGCAAAGGCCAGGAGGCAGGGAACAGGGCCCCATAGGACAGCAAAGGCCAGGAGGCATGGAACAGGACCCCAGGGGGCAGCAAAGGCCAGGAGGCATGGAACAGGGCCCCAGGGAGCAGCAAAGGCCAGGAGGAGGGAACAGGGCCCCAGGGGGCAGCAAAGGCCAGGAGGCAGGGAACAGGGCCCAAGGGGGCAGCTCTGAAAGGCTGCAGTTTGGGAAGGACCTGTCCACACTAAATGACCTTGATGCCTGCTGGTTTTCGGTTGCCTGGCCCCTGCCCTGCCTGTAGGGCATCCGGCAGTTTCTCTCCAGGCTCTGAAGATACAGTGAAGTTAGGAACTCTGCCCCCTAGTCCTCATTCTGCAGATGGTGTGTTGCTTACCTTGCTGTGATGGGGAGGCTCTTGGGCAGGGGCGCTGTCAGTGGTTGGGAGGACACAGGCCAGAGCTGCTGCAGTAGCCCATACAGGAGAAGGCTAAGGCTTGATCTTGGGCAGGGTCCAGTGGGGAAGAAATGGAGGATATCACAGACCTGGAGAGGGGTACGGGTGCATGGGCTCAGCACTGGCCCCTGGGTGTTGTGGAATGTCTTCTGTCTCCAGGTTCCACAGAGCAGGTCTGTTGGCCTCACCTGGTTTTCCGCCTTGTAATTCTAAGGGTTTTGTCTTCATCACCAGTTGGGGCCATGTACAAAGGACAGCCAGTATGGGACCTTGAGTTAGAGCCAGAGATCCTTCTGTGGACCCTGTCAGGGAAAACATGGGAGGGATGGGCAGCCTCAGGGTTTGGCTTGTGTGCAAACTCATCCTTGCTGGTGGAAACCGGGCATGCAGGGGGCTGGCTGCATGCCTTTCCGGCTGTGACAAGGGACTTTTTACACAATTGCATTTTGTGTGGTTTATGACTAGCCAAGTTGCGCTTTCAAGGAGAGGCACTTCCCTCAGGGAATGGGAAGTTGTGGTTAATAATATGTCAGATCATCCAGTGGCAGCCTGTTCTGTTGGTTTCCCTGTGTGTGCCCAGTGTGGCTTGGGATAAAGCTGGGGATGGCAGGGATTGGAACAACAGCGCAGTGTGCTGTGGGTGGTTGAGAGGAGGGCTGTGCTGATGCCTGGCCTAACTCTTTTGGGCAATGTGGAGGGACAATTGGATTTACATTTTGGCCGTCAGGAAGTGGCTTTGCAGGAGTACCCGTCTTGCTAACAGAGACTAGTCACTCACTCTGGCATTGAGCAATGAACAAGACTGAGAGCAAAGCTTGAGTTTTCACCCCTGCCTGGGGCGGTGTGTCTAATTATAACTCAGTGGGATCCAGAGTTGCTGGCGTTCCAGGGACATGACTGCTGAGTGAGCCTGCCTATTGTGTCCAGCATATGAAAAGCAGATGCCGATAAGATGCAGATGTCATCCTCCAGGTTAAGCACTGATCTCATTGTTCATACATGTATCTGTTTTGGTCCCTGACTGCCTTTGTTTTGGTATCTACTGTCAGGATTGTGTGCATGTTCTTGTGTGGGGGTGTGCTCACACATGCCTGTGTGTGTAGAGGCAGATGTACATCAAGAGTCTCCCTTGATTGCCCTCACCTTATTTTTTGAGACAGGGTCTCTTACAGAACCAGGAGCTCTCTGACTGGGTTAGGGTGGTTGGGCATAGAGCCCCAAGGATCCTCCTGTCTCCATTTTCTTAACACTGATCACATATGCGTACACCCTGTCGTGCAAAACATGGATGCTGGAGGTCTGAACTCAGGTCCTCTAGCTTGCATGGCAAACCCTTTACCAGCCAGGCCCTCCCCCAGCTCCTCTTCCTCTTATTTTGCAGGGCTAAAGATCAAACCTAGGACCTAGTGCATGCTAGGCTGAGCTTGGCCTCTGAACTGCGGCCCCCAAGCCCTAGCTAATCTTTTTGTCTCCATTGTCCTTCTCTGATCAAGGCCCTGAAGTCGGGTCTTTGTGGGCTGTCCCCACCTGCCTTGTTAGTATGAACATCACGTCCTTTTCTTCTCTTCCCAGGAAAGTATGTGATGGTGATGGGTGTGGTTCAGGCCCTTAGTCCTGAGCCCTGCCTACAGGCTGTGAAGATGATGGATCTTTCTGACAATCCTGTCCACGAGAGCATGTGGGAACTGGAGGTGGAAGATTTACACAGAAACATCCCTTAGAGCTGGGCCTCTGAGAGCAGCTTTCCCTGGAAGTACTTTACCACCGTGTGGGTCTGGGACATCGAAAGTTTCATGACGAGATTTGCCTTGGTGGAGCCAGACGTCTGGACCCTGGGAGCTGGAGCTTCCGTTAACTCCGCCTCCTCTCTGCCCAGGCCTTTGGCTGCTTGTGGATGAGAAGCAGATGCTCTGGGCTTTTCCCCCGTTAGTCATTTATGTTCGTTTTTCTCTCTCTAAAGCACATGGAAATCTCATGTTGCCGTTTCCTGATTTGGCGAGTGATAACACTTTCTGCTTTAAGATGCAAAATCTAAGTTTCAGTTATTGCCAGTGGGATAAAGTGCAGTTAGGAGGACAGAACGACATTGTGGCCTGTCTCCCCTTCCCTAGCTGCTGGGTGCCAGCAAGCAGCCCCTGCAGACAGGGCTCTCTCTGCTCCAGAATGCTCATTCCTGAAACATTGTGAGGCCAGCTGCTGAGAATGGTTGGAATAGTCTCAGAATTCTTTGTTGAAATTAAAAATCCAAGATGGAAACAGACTTTTCAAATACTTCTGCTTCAAAACTTTTGTGGAGAGATAGCCAGGGAGGGAATAATCTGCTGGCTTAGAGTCCTGACCCTTCTGCATGAAATGCCTTTCTGTTGGGATTGCATCACTGTTGGGTTTTGGCTTTCTGCTGATCACCCAGGCTCGATTCATGTTCGGATGGTAAAGACCAAGGCAGTCCATATTATGTTCCCACACCGCTGCAGCACTTTGCCCAGAAGACTGATAGTCTACCACTAGTAACATTTTTGTATGGCTAGTTTTTAAAAATAAGCACAATTATTTGTTTGTTTGTTTTAAAGACAGGGTCTTACGTAGCTCAGGGTAGCCTGACTCCTGACCTCCCACCTCCAGTTCCTGAGTATACCACTCTGCTTGCTTTTGCAGTGCTGGAGATTGAACCAGGGCTTTGTGCATGCTGGGCAAACTCTCTACTAACTGAGCCCCATCTCCAACCTGACCTATGATTTCTTAAAACAGGTTTAAGTTTTCAGAAAAATTGAATAGAAAGTCCCATAAACACCATTGAACCTAAGGCCTTCTGTGTGTTTGGCAAACACCGTCACTGATATAGACATCCAGCTCATTGATTTTAAGACAGAGTGTCTTAAAACAAGGATAGCCAGATGTGGCAGTCCTAATGCCTCAGCCTCCTGAGTGCTGCGATCCCAGGCCCACACCTCTCACCCAGGCACCCCCACACCCTGACTAACCTATATTGCCGTGAGCATCAGATGGTGCTTACCAGCAGATAAACTCAGGAGCCGCTTGGCAGGAAAGGAACAGAGTGGGGAGGAGAAGGGACCCAGGGGTGATCTAGAGCATTCCTGCCCCCTGCCCATAGGAAAAGTGTCAAGACTTTGAGCTAATTTGCAGCTCAGGCCGGTCTTAGGTTTATCATCTTCTGCCTCAGAGTAGCTTGGATTGCAGACTGGCTCCTCCTGCCCTGCTTGCATTGATGCCTTTTTAAAGAGATTTTATTTTTAGTTATGTATGTGTGTGTGTGGGGGGGCTTTGGGGTTTTATTTTTAGTTATGTATGTGTGTGGGGTGCCTTTGGAGGCCAGAAGAGAGTGCTGTCATTTGTCAGCCCCATCCAGGCAGCTCACAACTTCTGTAACTCCCTGTAGTTCCCAGGAATCTGATGCCTCTTTCGGACCTCTATGGACATTCCCACAACATGGCTCATAGACTCCCATGCTTACACATATATACATAAATAAAAATAAATGCAAAACAATGAGAAGACTTAAGAACAGTAATAATGAATGGCGCTGGGGACGGATCTTGGTCCCTGGTGCTGGGAGCCATCCCTGGTGGTGGACAGGTTCCTGCAGAGGATTTATGGAGTCGGCAGGGGAAGGAGAGCTAGGAATGGTGGTCAGGAGAATCCTGTAGCCTGACTGACTAGCAGCCAGAGTGCTTTTGATACAAAATTTAGTGAGCAGGGATAGATTCATGTTGCTCCAAAACATGGATCATATCATTTTTGTTTTGGGACATGTGTTTCACCTTTACTTGCTCATCCTTAGTCATCATTAATAAACTATGACAGAACAGAGTTATCATTTTCAATCATTTTCCCTCAAGTTTTGACATCATTGATGAACAGAGTTATCATTATTACTCATTAACTCCAAAACCCAATTTTTAAGAATCTAGAGGCATATGACAACCTGTTCTCAGGCTGGTTGCTTTGGTTGCTTCAAGGACACTATAGACCAAAATAAAATCTTCAACCACCCTGGGCCTTTTGCCATGTCTCAAGCAGTGTATTATTAACTCTTAATGGCCAGAGGGGCCCCAAAAAAGTCTCAGGCCAAAGCTGCTGCAGTTATTATTCAAATTCTGGCATAATACAGTGTTTATATTTTATATTTTAGTAGAATTTGTTTATATGTCTAGTCCTGGCATTCTGTTGTTCTTTGGTCACAAGACATCACAGTGACTTGGCATGTGCTGACTTTTCTAAGAATGGGAGGTCCTGACATCTCATTCTTTTGTCATCTTTCTATTCTATGCTTTGTTCATCAATGTAAGTCTCTGTGTAGGGCAGAGGTAACTTCAGCTAATCTAACTTTGTTGCTGTACATGTCACATAAACGCCTGAGTGTACAGTGAGGAGAGGCTTGTGATCCGAACTGTGGCCAACTCCTCTAGCCCACCGAATCTTGTTGACATTTTTAAGTTTACTTTGTTTTGAATGTCTTGTTCCTGAGTAAGTATAGGGACAGATGTTTCAAAAATGTCTCATAGCCTCATAAAGAGACCTCTGGCTTCTTTATGTGTGTCACAACCTCCAAAGCATAAGGAAGACCTTCAAGTAGATAAGAATATCTCCCTAAAAGCGGGAGAGGTAGTATGATCAGGATTGTCCTGGGGAAGCTTAGAAGCATTACTCCTGGAGAAAGGCGTAAGTGATTCATAAGAAGTTTTCCATCAATCCAGTATTCCCAAATTGTACAAATACTAAAAGTCTCCCGAGTATGCAACAGGTGGAGATGAAAGGTGGCCGTCATGTGACTCAGTCCTGCTGGATCCTTGTCAAGCAGCTGTGCTGGCCTTAAGACTTTTGTGGTATCAGAGAGAAGACTGCCACTGCCCTGAAAGTCCTGATGGCCACCTGTCTTCCCACTGTCTCACTGGGCCTGCCATGGAGTGCTTCGCTGAACGTTCACTCGGGCTCTGCCATGCCTTTTTGCTGCGGTAAAACCCGTTTCTCTTGCAGTGCTCCACTATCTATCAGCGTGTGTCCGCATGCCCCGCCTGCCCACTGAGTGACGTCCCGATTGTTGTCAGTACAGCTCTCAGTATGGGTTTAGTGTGGAGAGTTTACAGCCCAGCTAGGAGTGCAGGAAACACGCGGACTCCACGGGTAGTCCTGTAAGATCTGCCAGACTCATGGCGTGCCTGGCTAAGTTGTTCGTTTTATTTTATTTTGTTTTTCTGAGACAGGGTTTCTTTGTGTAGACCTGGCTGTCCTGGAACTCACTCTGTAGACCAATCTGAACTTGAACTCACAGATATACCCCTGCCTCTGCCTCCCAAGTGCTGGAATTAAAGGCGCTCACATTTTCTTTTAAAGGTAGACCAAGTTGGAAAGTGATCTGGGTTTGACTGCTGAACAATTTTTTGTAAAGATATATTTGTATTGTTTATTTATTTATTTGTTTGGTTTTTCGAGACTGGGTTTCTTGATGGTAGCCCTGGCTGTCCTGGCTGGAACTCACTCAGTAGACCAGGCTGGCCTTAAACTTACAGAGATCCTCCTGCCTCTGCCTCCCCAGTGCTGGGATTAAAGGCGTGTGTCACCACTGCCCCACTTATTTTTATTTTATAATATTATTATTGTGTGCATGTGTGTCTATGTGCATATGTGATTCTGAAAGAGGGCATTGTAATCTCTGGAGCTGGAGTTACAGGCAGGTCTGAGCAGCTGAATATGGTGCTGGGAACCCAACTCGGTTCCTCTGGAAGAACAGCAAGTGCTCTTAACTGCTGAGCCGTCTCTCCAGCTCTAATGTACATCTTTTGAGCTACAGAAAAATTGCAAAAATAGTACAGTCCTTATTCTTTTTATTTATTTGTTTCTTGCCTACTTACTTAACATGTGAGGGAGGATGTCTATAGCCCAGTCTGTCTTGGAACTCCTGATCCTCCAGCCTTGACTTCCTGAGTATTGAGATTATAGGTGTGCACCACTAAGCTTGGTTTATGTGGTATTGGGGATCAAATGGACTTCTTGAATTGTAGATATACCAGGTTCCTATCATAAATATGTTAGCGTGGTGTGGATGTCAAAACTAATTAACTAATTAATTAATGAGCTAATACTTAGAAGTTAGTAGCCAAATCTATAGTTTATTCTGGTTTCTCATATTTTTGGTTTTGAGCCTGGCCTTTAATGACTGAGCCATCTCTCCAGGCCTATCCTGGTTTCTTTATTTCTTTTTTCCCCAGGATTCCACATTCTATTTAGTCATTGTGTCTCCTTAGGATCTCCCTTGTCTGGGACATTTGATCTGTTGCTTTTTTTTAAAAAAAAAATAATTTATTTAACTTTATTTTATGTGCATTGGTGTGAAAGTGTCAGATTCCCTGGAACTGGAGTTACAGACAGTTGTGAACTGCCATGTGGGTGCTGGGAATTGAACCTGGGTCCTCTGGAAGAGCAGCCAGTGCTCTCAACCGCTGAGCCATCTCTCCAGCCCCAGTCAGTTACTTTTGATTGTATTGGAACTTAGTCAACAGACATACATACACAGATGAAGACAACACACACACACACACAGAGACACATACACACAGACAACACACACACACACACACACACACACACACACACACTACACAATGCTAATGGTAACCTTGCACATCTGATCCTCTGCCTCCTTAGTGCTGGGATTATAGGCAAGTACTACAATGACTAGCTTTTTGCAGTGCTGGGAATCAAACCCAGGGCTTCATTCATGCCAAGCAAGCACTCCACCACCTATCTACGGCTCTAGGCTACCCTCCTCCTCCTCTTTAGCCAGGGTCTTGCTATGTCAGCACAGGGCCTCTGGCATGCTGAGCAGACTCTATTGCTGAGCTTTAGCTCCAGCCCAAAATTAATTAATTACTTTTGAAACAGAGTCTCATATTCCAGGCTGGCCTCAAACTCTGCAGCTGAGCGTGATCTCGAAGCCCTGATCCCCCTGCGGGCACTTTGCAGTGCTGGAGTTCAGGTATGCACTACTCCAGGCTTGGTTCCTGCATGCCAGACAAACACTCTACCCCTTGAACCCCAGGCTGAAATTTAATTTTGATGCAGGCCACAGGATCTCTGCTTTAGGATTCTTAGTAAAATGGTGTCCCCAAACTGCTTTACCCCAGAGCAGCTGTTGAGCTGTGTGTGGCACAAGCCTAGTCTGCGTCCCCACTGGAGACCTGGAAGCTGCTGACAGCTTCCCAGCCGTGTCCTCACCTAACTCCTGGTGAATAACACGCGATGGAAAAGTGTGGGCTGGCTGGAGGTCGCCGCCAGTGGGGGAGGAGTGCTCCAAACTGCAGCGGCCAGTGGCTGGAAGCTGCCTCCCCAGCACAGAGCCCAGCCTGCGGTTTCTCTGCACATTCAGGACTCTCACTGTCGGGCTGCCGTTTCCTCCCTGACAGGGCCAAATGAAAATGCATCCGGAGGCTTCAGCTCTCAGGCTGCCAAATCAAAGTCAGTTTATCAGTGAGCACCCGCCAGACCGCGGCTCTGGCGGCAGCCTGTGTGCCCGCCCAGCGCAGCTTCCCTTTTGAAATGCTCTTTTCTAAGAACCGAGAATAAGCAACCTAGGCTGTGACTTCACTTTTCTCGGAACTGCTTTACATTATATATATTTTAAAAATGCGAAACCATCACTTAGCTGGTTTTGGATTGCCTGAGTTCCCTAATTCTTTCTGTTGCATGTTCTTGTAAAGCTCAAGTTTTACCGCAAAATTCTGCAGGAGGGGGAAAGAGTGGCCATGCCAAATAGGGGTGTGTCTTGTGTTTTAGCTGGCTTATGGATGATTTAATGATTAAGGAGAAAAAGAAACTAGAAGAGATGCCATGAAAAGTCAAGGATCAACTCTGAGTTCTGTCTGGCAGACAGAGTTAATGCTGGGCGCTTGGTCCACACTTTGTGATCGGCTAGCTGCCTCTTGCAAGGATGAGAGGGGACCTGGGTGTAGTGGTCCAGTGTCTGTGATCCTGATATTCTGAGGTGAAGGCCACTCTGGGCTATAGTGCAAGTTCCAGGCCCTGTGCTGACATAGCAAGACCCTGGCTAAAGAGGAGGAGGAGGGTAGCCTAGAGCTGTAGATGGGTGGTGGAGTGCTTGCTTGGCATGAATGAAGCCCTGGGTTTGATTCCCAGCACTGCAAAAAGCTAGTCATTGTAGTACTTGCCTACAGTCGCAGCACTAGGGAGGCAGAGGATCAGATGTGCAAGGTTACCATTAGCTACATAGCAAATTCAAGACCAGCCTGGGCCATGTGAGAGACTGTCTTAAGAACAAAACAAAACAAAACAGTATGGAGGAGAAAGAGCAGATGCATCTTTAGCCACAGTGAGCCACAGTGACCTGTATATATCAAGCCACCAATGGCTTTGAGCCTGTCTATAAGGACATCATCCTGGGGTTCCTACCTTCTTGGCATGAGGGGCTGAAACACTGTCACACTGTGGGGGCTGGTCCTGGTCCTACTGTTTCTTGCCTGACCTTGGGTTTGAAGGTCAGCCTTTGAGGTGGAGGCAATCCTTCCTTCAAAGGATGCTGCTGGTAGGTTCTTGGGAACCGCAGTTGCCATGCCTCCTTCTGAGTGGGGAGGTCTCAAATTTGTTTTAAAATCATAACTTGGTATCTCTGTCCCCTGGAGACTTACAAAACACATACAGGTATCAGTTAATGCCAGTAATGGCTGAGTTTCAGGTTGGTCTACACACAAGCAAAGGCACAGTGCTTGTGAACCTTGACATTTGAAAGTTTTTTTTAAATTATTTGTTTATTTACGAATTTTTTGTTCGCTCACAAATTTACTTTGTTTGTATGT